TTCTAATCGATTTCGTACATTCAAGCCTCACTGTATGAACGCGCATTTGATTCGCTAGATAAAATCGATAAGGTTCATGAAATAGGATTCTCTCAGAATCTCTCAGCGGAATACATTTGTGCCGCTGTCGAATGCTTCTCGGAGACATTGTCTGTCCACCCCCCCCCCCCCCCCGTTAGAAATCCCTCTTCTTTTCTTTCTTCTTGAATCCGCGAGAAGAAATCCCAGCGATGGTGCGGCGAACCGCGTCGAAGAATGCATTTAAAAATTCCGAAGAGACGCTAGTCGGGGTGAAAGGAGGAAGGGTGAAAGATAGGGAGGGATGCATACGTAACTCGACGTATAATCACCGCGAAATGCATCGCGACGGCGGGAGTACCTCCGGATTTAATCGCATCGCACCCCGCATCGGTCCTGTTGTTACTACCTGTCACTGTTCCTTGAGACACTCTGACAGGATGCAAGAACGTGCCTCGAGTCAAGTCCTTGTTGTGATCATCGCTCTTAAATCCCTTTCACATCGTCACCTAACGTCTCTACGGTGTAGGAATTTTCTATCGGACTTCGATCGCTCGCGGCAGTCTTTCAGTAATGAAACTAGATATTTTTGGATCCAAAACGGGAAACTTCATTAAGGAGAAGATGGATGTATACATAAATAATTAAAAGTAATTTGTTAATAGCAATTCATTTTTAAAAAATAATGCAATTGTTCTCTCCATATTTATTATTCAAAATTATCAAAAGTATTGTGTATTTCATATTTTTATAATTTTTTTCGAAAATTTCTTTTTATGATTTATCATTGTGTGAACAATGTAAAATATGAATTAATTTTAGTATTTTTAATGAAACTAGGGTAGCTATCATAATGCGCCTGCATATAACGACCGTTCTCATGCTCTCGTTAATCGTATAAGAAACTTTCCAATAAATGTAGTTTGTCGTTCATAAAGCTTACGATATCTGTAACATGTACGTTATCAGTAATTAACGATTGATTACACCGATCGGCTGACAATCCGTTGCTTCCTGTATGCGCCAATGGAGACAAAGACATATCTTGTTAATCGCGCTCGGTCTCATTTAATATGCAACGAACTTAAGGCGTGGATTTCACCGTGGCATTAATATGCGGACACCTTACGTGGGACGCACGAATACGCACAACTTGAAATCGATTCAGGAATGTCGACGTTCGATTCGCTTTTTATCGGTCAATCCGACGCACTGATCAGCATTGCCCACGCAATACAAACGCAAGGATAGATGCAATCGCATATGCCAAAAAAAGTGGAAGCGCAACCAGCTCATTAATTAAAACGTCCGCCTACTTCTCGGTAGCGTCGTGATTATTATTTTCCTCACGTTAAAACGTTATCGATTGAGTGTCGAGACGCAAAAGATGGATATCTTATTTTCCGTCTTGCGTTTAATTCCTTTCGTGTTTTTTTCATCCTTTATTTGCTGCTAGCTGTAGACCAGTTTTCTTTTACATTTTCGTATCCGCTTTGCTTTTAAATAATTCTCCAATTTTACTTTAATTGATGTAGTACATGAAACACATACCTAGTTAGAGGACAACACAATAATAAGATTTTGATAAGAACTTAACAGTTGTTATTTCGATGTAAAGTAAAACTCTAATTAAATAATACTTTAATTAAATAATATTTATTATTCTCTATTAATATCTTGACTTTGCACAAAAAAAGATAAAGATTTAACTATTGTTTTCGATTAATAGCATGTTTAATTGGAATAATTATTGAATATTTGTTTTACTCGTGACTTAAATTGTACCTATAGAATTTCTGAAAATTTAAATTTTAATATATCGAAGTCCGTTCGTTATTCATTGCACTTACTAATTAGCATATTATATTTTTATCAAATTTTTGTACGTTTATATCCAGCTAATTATTTTTTACTCTTCCTTTTACCTCCAAAATTTATTTTATTGTCATTTTTTGCATCTATCCTCTTCTATTGTGCTTACGATCGTCTGCACGCAACTTTCTTGCAAACGTCTTGCCTACGCCTTGTCTCCTTCTTCTTCATCATTACCAGGTACCCTCTTTGCGTTTGCGTCTGCCACGATGCTTCTTCTTCCATTAAGAAATAATTTCTATCTGCTCCTCCGTCTCCTCCCTTCGCTCTTAACCCTCCTACCGGCTCATCCTCGACCTCACCGACCTTGCCTTTATCCCCGCGCGTTTGTTAAAGCCTCTTTGTGCGTCGACGTTGGCTGAGGATTTGCCGAGGCCGAATGACGCGCGAACATCGCACTCGCGTTAGCGTATACCGACGTGAACGAAATCACGCTAAAAAGACCAACCGCGGATATCGCGAGTGAACCTTAGAATTAACAACCACCACTAACACTCGGTAGCCTCATAATTATTGTTATTATTTCTTTCCCGCCCCTCTCCAACCCGCTTAGACGCAAAGATTGTAACATAGTTACTACGTCGTGATTACCTGTCTTAAGTAACGACTCATTACTCGGCCAGAGGTCGAATGCTGATCGGAACGTAGTGGACAGCCTTTAGCCCTCACTTAAGATTCTTTCGAACTTCACTATGCCACGATGTTTCTCGACATCTCACAAGGTTGAATCGACTTAACGATGTAAGTTCTTCCGGAAGACACGAAGGTCACTTGACATAAAATATCGAGGTTCAATTAAATAATTAGACCACCGTAGAACTGGCAGAACTTTTGAAAAAAATATTATAAATTACATAAAGTATTAATGGGTTTTTTATTACGAATTTATTAAAGATTTAAAAATCTCTGTCTTATTCATTTAGGTTAATCTAATTCCTACGTTTATATTCGTGACTGTGGGGAATTGTCAATGATATAAGTAATAATTCATTCCTCTACCTTTATTAAAAGGCATTAATTATTGTTCTAATGAGCATTGTGGAATAGACGAACAGATGTTTACCAAATTGCGGCAAATTGCCTGTTGGCTCGATTCGCGCTGCGCGATGCGACTTAATTAATATTTGTTAATTAAATCGGAATAGTGACTGCGCGCTGTGCGTTTACCACGAACTTCGCTTCACTCTCTCAATTCAATTTGTTGTAAATTACACACGAATGCTTAACTATTCCATTTCTGCTTCGGCAGAATAGCTCGTTTCCAGTACGTTAATGTGTACGTCTTTTTCCATATTACATTACATTAATAAGCTATGGTTCAAATTGTGCCAATATTGTGCAATGAAGTTGTTGAAAAGTTTAATATTTCCGTAAACACTTCCTAAAAGAGAACGACAAACGCGTTCTTTAAAATTCACGAAATCGAAGAAATTCACAAAATTAATTAATGATAAAAAAAAGCTAAAGGAAAGATTTAATTAATTAGCCTATTAAGAATTTGCGAAGCTAATACGACTATTATATTACCGTGATCTTTGTACAGAATCTTTAGACTAATAGTAATAATTATCAGATAAGCAGTGAATACCATTCTCAGTAAATTTACCACATCGAAGCTAAACGTCGCTGCTAAAGTGATCTACGTCGTGCTTTGACATGATTATTGTTATTGCTATTCGAAAAAATAACTTTTTTATTAGACCCGCGAATGATTCTAGCCCTCTGGGACTTCCATCCGTCGTCATTTCGCTGTCAATTGAAAGCGAGGAACGTCGCGAACTGAGATTTAATTTACGACCCTTTAACCGCGACCGCGAATGAGATTCGCGGTGAGGTCTAAGAAAATGAATGCTATGCGCACCTGGCAGAGATGATTGTACCGTGCTCGTCCATGAAAAAGATGTGACGCGCTGAGAATCTCGCGTTAAAATAATAGCGTGCAAATTGCATCTACACTGTTACTTTCGGTGGCTGCAATCTTATACCTAGATGTGACTACCATCAGTCGGCATTGGAGTTAAAAAAACTATATCGCGACAACGAATGTACAGTATCCACCTGGGAAATTTATGGAAATGAATCTACGTGACGATGTAAACATCCACGTCACTTCCATAATAAAAGTAAAATTCACCGCTCTGTCGAATGTTACAGTAGGATTATTGTATGCCATTACTATTAAAATCGGTGATACGTCGGCAAGGGACTGTACGTTTCAATATTTTTGGGAATGTTCACTATCGTGGAAATGGGGAAAACGGAATATGCAATGAGAGGTCGTCACCGAACTAATATCGATAATTAATACCCAATAAATACTTAAACGGTAGGAACATTTACTCTGCGTTAGCTGGGCTAGCAGTTGTTCATAATTTCGTTGTAAATATTTAATTCTTCATTCCGTTCGTGTCATCCTCGTTTCGTTAATACAAGAGTATTCTGGCATGTATATACGGTAAATATATTATACAAGCTCGTTAACTGCAATCATCGATGACTGTCTCTCTAATTTTACACAAATTCGCCAATTATTATAAATCCCTGATTTTTTAACTAGCAATTGAAATTATCAAGTCAGACTGAAACTAATTGTATCAAACTCGATACATATATGTCAATCTTCTTCAAATTATTGAAAATAATTATATTTTAATGAGATTTTTGTGTCACATAGTCTTTGACGTGATAAGAATGCATTACTTTATCATTACTAAATAAGTTGCATTGGAATGAACATGAAAATTAAAGGAATTTCAATAAGCTCAGTAAAATGTACAATTGATATTGCAACATTTTATTAAGAGTCTGAAATTTTTTTTATGAACAATTTATTAAACATTCATAGATTTAATTTTATTTATTTTTTGCAATTAAATAAAAACTTGAATTATTAAAAGATATTACAAGTGGAAATGAGTACAAATAACTCAAATAAGAAAGAATCCTATTTTCGAAGTGTGTATTAATATTTTATAATATATCATTATATGTATTCATATTTCCATGGGAAAAAACGATTCTGTTGAAATACAACAGTTTGATTAAAATAATTAAAATAAATTAACTGCGCTTCAATTTGTATAAAAAATTTGTATATTCCCCTGTTGCAGGTGGTAGTAGAGAGCTCGACGCTAGCATTAGAGTACGGTGATCTTGAGATCGATCCTGGTTCTCCAGTGAACCCGGATCTCCTATTCGATTCGCAACTGATGCATCTCTACGTGCTGACGGAGAAGAAGGTCTCAAAGGTCAAGGTGCAGGAGTGTTCGGTTTACAAGACGTGCTGGGACTGTCTGGGCGCCAAAGATCCATATTGTGGCTGGTGCTCATTGGAAAATAAGTGCAATCTGCGCAGCGACTGTCAGGACGCGGCTAAGGATCCACTCTACTGGATCTCTTACAAGAGTGGTAGATGTACAACGATCACCACTGTCACGCCAGACCAACTGCAGCGCACCACTGCCAGGACTCTCGAGCTCGTCATCGAGAACCTGCCGACGCTGTCCGGACAGTTTCTATGCGCATTTTCCGCCCTCGACAAGACCCTAATCACGAATGCTTCGCGAAAGTCCTACGGCGTGAACTGTACCACACCGAGAACCGATTTATTGCCATCGATACCGCCGGGCCGACACCATTTCACGGCCAAACTGTCGGTTCGGATGACAAACGGGCCCGATTTGGTAGCGACAAATTTCACTTTCTTCGATTGCAACACGTACAGTTCCTGCACACAATGCGTATCATCGAGCTTTCCATGTGACTGGTGTGTTGACGGTCATCGGTGCACACACGATACGGCGGAGAATTGTAGGAACGACATTCTTGTCACAGGAGTCAGCGTAAGTATCTTTGCTATTTAGATTTAGATAAGAAAAAATTAAGCGATATTTTCATAAACTGTCAATAGAAGATTTCGGGTCAAATAATATATATATATATATATGTTTCCACAAAAAAGAAGCTTTCTCTTTAATTCTTATTTGAATTTGAATAAACAATTTAAATAAGAGGAAATAGATTATAAATCTTTTGAATAACAAATGACATATAAATATTAACCTACTTGATTGCTCCGCCATCATTTTTTTCTTTTTCCTCTTGAGTTGTTTTATTGCATTCGCATAACGCGATATATTCGCGAAAACACGGTTAATAATAATTGCGCTTAATTACTAGAGTATGACGATCGTGTACCATTTTACGTGGCACTTCCACAACATTGACAATAATCCGCAAAATTGCACAAAATATTATTAATAAATAATACACTAAGTGCCGCTTCAATTGACTTATTCGATCAAATAACTCGAGCGTTACTCCACGCTCGCGCTCGTGCATTCGGAAATGGTAATTGCATTTATCATGAATTGTAAAAAATATGTAGCGCAACGCGTGAGACGTATTCAAATATAAATAAAGCTACAAGAATATACAGTGAGTGCAAAAAGTATTCGTATAGAGGAAATATCTTTAAAAAAACTATATTTAAAAAAATAAACATTAATTAACAATTTATTAACAAAAAATAAAATAGGCTATGTATTCCTCAAAATTATTTTACCTCTACAAAGATATAATAATTAAAATATATTATCTTAAAGTAAACGAAAATAAAAAATTACATTATTTGGGTACTCACAAAAATTCTTACACAGTCGAAAAATTTAACTTCTAAAATCAGGAACACGCAAAGCTGTTTTGTTTATATTAGGACAGAACGTACTCATTGTATAAAATTGCTAATTAATGTTAACTTTCTACAAATAAGGCTTTTTGTTATAAAAATTTATCCTGTACAAATACTTTTTGCACTTACTGCAATTATCGTAACGGAATAGTGATTTATATGAATCCTATCTTCTAAGAAATCTACGGTCTTGATCTCCATAAATAAATAAACGCGTAACACGTGCGAAATAATGCTTTGACAAACAGTCTTTGCTCTAATATGCTCGCGTACTATTAATAAATTGTAGAAGCTATTGATTGCGCGAACCGATAATCGCTAATTGGTCGGAATATTCACATTACGAAGAATAATAATGCGACGGCACGCGGAGTGGCTTGTGCTGCTGTCTGCCTGCTTCTATATTAACCGCATGAATGGTAGCGTACCGACCTTGCTTATACATCGACCCGCCGTATGCCACATAAAACAAGGCTATACGCCAGCCAAAATGTTGTCATCCCGTTCTACCGAAATATACAACGGTTTATCAAATAAACACGTGTCGAATATGTCTTTTGTATTCGAAATTGATTTCTGTGAAGAGCTTGCATTTTGGTTTCAATCGATTCGCGTCGCCTAAATTACGAACATTATTACTAGATTGAGAACTTTATCAAAACGTAATGAAACGTAAGGAAAATATTATTACTTGAATTTTAATTTAATGATTTAGTGTAACTTTGATTGATAGATAGGTATATGCATTTTAAGTCTTTGTATCAAAATATATAATAAATTGAATCATGCAAAAATTTAATAAGTTTATAATCAAAACTATATTATTTTGTAAGTGATGTGTAATAATTTTTAGATCTTAAATAATCTAAAATTATTGCGCGGAAATTTCTGTATCCGTTTAATATTTCTCGCTGAATCTCTCGAGTAAATGGGAATGTAGCGAAGTTATTAACACGTGTTGAATTTTTTTTATATATTAGATTTTAACTAGAGTAAAAATAATATTTGATATTATTTGCACATTTTTAAAGGTCATCTATAATGAAGTAAACCGTAAGCCATAAGAAATTGACCACTCACAGTCGAATGTTAGGAGAATAACTGACTATGAGATTGGTCAATTTTTTATGGCTTACGGTTTATTACTTCTATTATAAACGGTCCTTTAAGATATATTCGACCGTGACACAAGAAATCCCAAGAAATTCCTAAGAAATCTATAGTAATTTAAATATAGTCAAAGATACTTGTAAGAAGTTAGACGTATATGTTTCCAAGCTCATACAGTAATTGATATATAATTATCACAATTTTTTACTTATATTATATTTAAAATTATGTATATACATATGCATATCTTGATTTTGTATGAAGGAAATTAATAGCAATGCTCCACATATCAAATGAAATTGTTATATTCGTTATTGTTGTTTTAATTTCCTTTATAAAATAAAGACATGCACATGTACATGCATACTTTTAAAATTAGTAAAAAATTATAAGAAAGTATAAGTTCAAATGTAAACAAAATCTTGTTAAAATTGATATCATGCATTCGCTTATATTTACATTTTACTGAAACTCATTAAAGTTTTAAAATGAATTTACATCATTTTCGCAAGATAAACGATTCATATGTGCTGCAAACTCACAATACCTAATTTCAGAGCAGAATTGCGATTCTGTTGTTGCATACATGTTAACATGCATCAACTAATTTCATTTCGACATCAACTCGATTCGATTTGGAGTTAAAACGTTGCGTTCACTCCATGAATATTAATATGTGATTATCAATTAACTTGTAATTTTTGATGAAAACTTGACGCTGAGAACTTTGCTCTATGATTTGAATTGCATAATATCTAAAATAATCAAATGGAATAAAATCGAATTATAATAGAGTGCTAACAACAGCACTTTAATAAACTGGGTGAAAAAAGTAGCATGAGTGAAATAAAATATTAAAACGGATGAACTTAAAACATAGAAATTTTGAATTATTTTAACAATAATAGTTTAATTAAAATTACCTTGTCTTTTTGATAACTTTATATATATCTTATAGAGAATGGGACCAAGCTATAGGAGTGGGCCAGGTTTTTGTCCTACTATAAATGCCACCGAATCTCAAGAGATCCTCGTGTCTTCCGGTATAAAAAAAGCCATACGAGTTAAAGTGCATATCATTGGGGTAAGTAAAAAAACTACTACATCACTAATGATTAGATTATCTTTTTTATCTTTGAATCTTTTATGGAATTATAAAATATTGCAAAAATTTCATGAGATTTTCTAAATTTCATTTCTAAATAAAATGATAAATTTAATGAACATCTTAATAAATCTTAGTTTTTATGCAAAAATTAAGTATATCATGAATTCAGAATTCTATTGAGATATTAATGTACATTCTGGCAAATTTTCAGCAATTCATCATACAGACGCGGTTCGTGTGCCAATTCAACATTGAGGGTCGCGTGACGAGCGTAAACGCACGTTTGTTGGCTGACACGATCTACTGCGAGGAAACGGAATTCTCTTATACCTCTCGCGCGCCGAATATCACGGTACCTTTCGCAGTAATCTGGGGCGGCTCCAAACCTTTGGATAATCCAGACAATATACACCTTGTGATATACCGTTGCCGCGACATGGCAGACAACTGCGGCATGTGCTTGGCTCTGCCAACGAAGTACGGATGTGGCTGGTGCCAGAGCTCGGACAGATGCGAGGTAAAGGATCAGTGCGACCGCGGCACTGGCATGTGGCTGAACAGCAACCAGACCTGTCCAAATCCGGAGATAAAATCATTCGAGCCGGTAATGGGCCCCTGGGAAGGCAACACAAACGTGACGATTCGCGGCATCAATCTTGGCAAGACATTCAAGGTAAGAAAGGCGTCATTTGGTTTGTCTGTTACTCGTTATCGAAGTGAAATATAGTCGCTTTCGTCTATCATTCTCTTTTGTTATTTGCATAGTAATATATTACTAAATAGTTAATATTTTTACTATAAAAATTAATATTTTTTAAAAGTTTTTAAATTTATATACTTTTGAAAATATATATTTATAAATTTTTATATTTATTTATAAAGATATCAATAAATTACATTGACAATTAAATATAAATTATTAAAATTATATTAAAGACGACCTGATTTTTTAATCTGTTATCCTATTTTAAATAAGTAAAATCTCATTTTTTTTTTAATATATTAATATGCGATACCTAAAAATGTTTTTAATTGCAATATTCAGTATTAACATTCGTGTTTAGCATATAACCTTTTATTATCATTATTATGATATCTTTATTTGTTACCCAATTAAATTATTTAATATACATAATTTTAATATACGTTGCAGGACATAGTTGGGGGCGTTACCGTAGCCGGTATGCGATGTTTACCATATGAGGACCTTTATATTCGAACGAAGCAAATCGTTTGCCGAGTCGATGGACCTGGCACACAGGAAGGCAGGAGCGGACCTGTCATCGTCAAGATCGAAGACTTCCGCGGCGAATCAGACTACAATTTTGAATTTGTAGATCCACAGATCATCTCAATATCACCCAAGTACGGACCTTTGAGCGGTGGTACTACTATCAAAATCACTGGTAATTATATGAACGCCGGCAGCACTATCCATGCTGATATTGACGATCTTCCCTGCTCCATAATAAGTGCCGAACCTAACGAGGCTCTTTGCATGACAAGTCCAAGTGATCAAAAGCGAAATGGCTTGCTAAAGATGTCTTTTGACGGTGGCAAGCGTTTATATGATGGCCACTTTGAATATGTCGACGATCCGACAATTGAGAGTGTGGAGAGCGGCGTGGCTGGTCAGATGAAGGTCCCAAAGGGAATTCCAGCGGGTGGAATAAAGATCTCGGTGACCGGCAAGAACCTCGGCTACATACAAAGTCCACAAATGTATGTCTACTACGATGAGAAGATGTTCGTATCGCAATGCGAGGTGCACAGTCAGGAGAGCATGGTGTGTAAGTCACCGACCATCGAAGTGCCCGAACACATAATATTGGATGCCGAACGCCCGCTCTCTCTCGAATATGGTTTCCGCATGGACAATGTTACCGGCGTGCAGAATCTCTCGCAGCACGGCTTTAATCACTTTCTTCTGTATCCAAATCCGTACTATGAAGTCTTCGACGAGGAAGTTAAATATTACAAAAGTGATTATCTAACGATCAATGGTCAACACCTTGATCGTGCCTGCCAAGAGTCCGATGTGGTTGTGCAAATTGGTAACGCTTTTTGCAATGTCACATCCTTATCGCGGCAACAACTCACCTGCCGACCACCCTTAACGCAACCGCCAGCCATTGATGCCCAGGGTCTGCCCAATAAACAAGAATTGCCGGAGGTGGTATTAATAGTGGGCGGTACGCTTCGTTATAACATTGGCAAGCTTAGCTACGCACTGCCAGCTGGATTGAACGGGCCTTTGTCGAAACCCGCACTCATTGGCGTGATCGTGGCCATTGTGATCTTAGTAGTCGTATTCATAGCATTCCTCATCGCTTATCGCCGAAAATCTACGGAGAGCAACCGTGTGTTGAAAAATATGCAGGAGCAGATGGATATTCTCGAGTTACGAGTCGCTGCCGAATGTAAGGAAGCTTTTGCTGAATTACAGACGGAAATGACTGATCTCACAGGAGATCTTACTAGTGGTGGCATACCCTTCCTTGATTATCGCACTTATGCGATGATGATATTATTCCCCAGCGACGACAATAGTCCAGTACTGCAGTGGGATAGGCCAGAACTCGCACGAAAAGAGAAAGGATTGCGCTTATTCGGTCAACTGATAATGAATAAGACTTTCTTATTACTGTTCGTACGAACGCTCGAGAGCAATCGTTATTTCTCGATGAGAGATCGAGTTAACGTGGCCAGCCTGATTATGGTTACGCTGCAGAGCAAAATGGAATATTGCACGGATATCTTAAAAACTTTGCTGGCGGATCTTATCGAAAAGTGCACGGAAGGCAAAAGCCATCCAAAGCTATTTCTTAGGAGGTAAGTATATGACGTTATACTTTCAGTTATTAATATTTGATGAAGATATTTATGATTTTAAAAAACTTATTTATTTTGTAGAACTGAAAGCGTTGCTGAGAAAATGTTGTCTGCTTGGTTTACATTTCTCTTATACAAATTTATGAGAGAGTGCGCCGGTGAACCATTATACGTATTGTTTCGCGCGGTAAAACAGCAGGTCGATAAGGGTCCTGTTGATGCGATTACTTCAGAAGCACGATATTCTTTATCCGAAGAAAAATTGATTCGGCAATCTATCGACTTCAAGCCAATGGTAAAGATGCGTTAATAATTCGACAAGATAAGTTAATGCTCTGCAATAATAACGTTTCTATTATAATTTCAGACGGTTTATGTTTCGATATCCCAACAAACCGTGTTTGTTGGCGGAATGGATCCTAACACGGAGAACGTGCCAGTCAAGGTCCTTGACTGCGACACAATATCTCAAGTGAAGGAGAAAGCGTTGGATACGATCTACCGAGCGACTCCGTATAGTCAAAGACCTCGAAAGGAGGATCTTGATCTTGGTAAGAAAATCTTGCACTTGAAACTTATTATTAAACTTCATATAAAATTATGCAATTCTCGTATTATGTTTAATGAAATATTGCAGAATGGCGAACTGGTGCGTCCGGTAGATTAATTCTCTACGACGAAGATTCGACAACGAAGACAGAGGGCGAGTGGAAGAAGAGAAATACTTTGAATCATTACAGGGTACCGGATGGAGCATCACTCAACTTAGTCTCCAAACAATCATCTATATACAATCTTTCAATTCTGTCAGAGAAGACGGACAAATCGCACAAATACGAGACCTTGAATCTTAGCAAGTTCAGTTCGGCGAGTCCCCCTCTTTCTCGTGCCACTTCGCCGCTTAATCAAAATATCGAAGCTGGTATGAAGATTTGGCATCTTGTTAAGCACCACGATTCCGACGCGCGAAAGGAGGGAGATCGCGGCAACAAAATGGTCTCGGAGATCTATTTGACGAGGTTACTGGCAACAAAGGGTACTCTCCAGAAATTCGTCGATGATCTGTTCGAGACAATATTCAGCACTGCCCATCGAGGCTCAGCGCTACCTCTCGCCATCAAGTACATGTTCGATTTTATGGACGACCAAGCTCTGCAACACGGCATATCCGATCCGGAAGTGGTCCACACGTGGAAGAGCAATTCCCTTCCCCTTAGGTTTTGGGTTAATCTCATAAAAAATCCGAATTTTATTTTCGATATACACAAGTCTAACATTGTGGACTCGTGTTTGTCCGTCGTGGCGCAGACGTTTATGGACAGCTGCTCAACGTCGGACCATAGATTAGGTATGTAACTTTTACCAATTTTTACATTAATTAAGGAGATTCAGGAATACATATTTTTTTCTGCTGTTCTTAGGTAAGGACTCTCCGAGTTCAAAACTATTATACGCGAAGGACATTCCAGTGTACAAAGAGTGGGTAGAGCGTTACTACTCAGATATTAAAGTCATGCCAGCCATATCCGATCAAGACATGAATGCCATGCTTGCCGAAGAGTCGAGGGTATTTATTCATTTTTATATTCGTAACGTATAAATTTCGTAAATTTGCTCTTATAAGTATTCCTAACGCATCAACATTCGTCTAATTTTGTTTCAGTTGCACACAACGGAGTTTAACACGAATTGTGCTTTATACGAACTGTATACATACGCGGGTAAATACAACGAACAACTAATAGTCACGCTCGAGGAGGACGAATTCTCGCAGAAGCAGAGACTGGCGTACAAGCTCGAGCAAGTGCACAATATAATGGCGGCGGACAATCCCTGATGCATGACCATGAACTCCATGAAGCACATGACGAAATCTGCTCGTCAAGAGTTACCCTGCTGAGCGGTCAATCGCGGTCCGGTGTAATTATCAACGACGCGAACGAGGGGAACTGGCCTACCTTGAAATCGATTATCTCAGGTTCCGTGCAAAAGCCAGTTTTCTCAGCTTAACGCGAATCGCGAGTGAACTTTGGAATTATTCCAGACAGGATTAAAAGTATGTGTCGAGGAAGTCTTCTCAGAGGTCGCCAGTTCGTAAGTGTGGCCATAATCATAAGCACATTGCCGCGTGCGCGTATAATTGTACATAAGATATCAAAAATCATGAATAATTGTAATAGGATATTAAATGTACGATCACCCCTCGACTCGACGGTCGAGTCGAGTGCAAGAGCGAGGCGAGAGCGTTTCCCTCGCCGCGCGGTGATCGCACGCCCGTTTGCACCGCGAGTGATTTTAAAAATGAATGTAATAATGTGAAACACACTAGTGATAAGAGAGGCGCGAGTGAGGGAATCAGCCGCGATATCGATCGATAATTTGTAAATGTGTTTAAAAAATAATACGGTCGATTGCCGGCGCCGTTGATCTCGGTGATCTGGCGATTTTTAACGAAGAAACATTTCCATCCATCGCTACTCTAGCTGAAATTTTTTGAACTGACGAATTTTAAGAGATAATTACCGATAACGATGAAATAATTAAACGATATGGATATATTATATATGTATGGATGGTATGTCGTATGTATATGTGTACATATATACACTTTATACTGGCGCAAGCATGCCTGTGTGTGCGTGTGCGTATATCTAGTATCCGATGAGGAGGCGCGCGTGCGAGCAGGTAGGACGGTATCCCGCGCCGAGTTATTTTGCCATAACTTTATCACACAAAACGAGACTTAAAGAAGTCTCACTCGCTCACACGCTTATAAGCGCGCTGTCGCACGCTCCATAACTCGGCAGCGCCGTACCGCACGCACGTGCGTATTTAATATGGTGTATTATGTATACTTACACGGCGCTCGAGAAGGGAAGGAAAAAGGGAGGGAAAAATAAAGTCATCCGCGCAACGGAGACAGACTGTGTATTAGTTAGTAAGTAATTAATCTATGGACTATGGCCGCGCGCGAGGCCAGCTCGATGTGACGGTTGTGTTGAGTGTGCGTGCTTCCCCCCCTCCTTGGTCTCCGCGACTCATTGTTCCATTTCGCCATTTAATCGTTCATTCCTATCGTCGTGCATCCATCACCGATGTCAACGTCGCTATTCCATAATCATCAATAATCCTATCCTTTTCCTTCCTTATCCTTATGTCCATCGTTACCTTTCAATCCTTCTCCTCTCCTCTCATACTGTTTGTAGTATGTCCACCATCGAAGCTCTTCTGCTCTTCCTTCATCCTCCTAGAAATCATCTACGTACCACTTTCAATCTCTATCTACCCATCTTTCTCTCTCTTTCTCTCTTTCTCCCTTGTAATGCTTCAACGCCTCCGTCGTCATGTTGTTGTCACTCTTAATTATTGTAATATATAATGAATAACGATCACTGTTGAGTATTGTCTGATTGTAATACATTGATATTGAATTGATATTGAATTGATAATCATTAATTAAAAGCGTAACATTAACTCTGTGGATGTAGCCATATTGGTGTGCGTGAAAGTGAGCCGCGCGAATGGATGTGTGTTTGATCGAGAGCCGAAAGCATTGCCGAAGGATCGCCGCACCGATAAACAAAGTTGTCCAATCAACCTGTTATTCCCTTCGTATTTACGCACAAATTGCCAAATCACACCACATTATCTGTAAATCGGGCGACAAGTCCGATCTACGGAGTGCCTGATCCTGGTATGATTTTACATACTCTTGCGAAGGATTAAGGAGTTAATGGGATTCGAAGCTGGATGTTCTTCGAACTCATTTAACGTGACGTTCTGTCAATGCGTACGGCTGGTAGCGAATGACGGCTGTCCGACGTGTATGCGCGTGTGCATGTGTCCTGTGCGTCAATTCAATGTGCAGTTATACGTGGAGAAAGTATTTATTGCTCAAAAAACATCGGAAGACCGTGGTGGAAAGGTAAGGAAGCGGGTAAAAGATATGGAGTTGTTGGTAGGCTTATTGGAAAAGGAATTGGGGGGGGAGGGTGGGATGGAAAGCCGGGAGAAGGAACAGAGAATCTACGCGGTGGCGAAGACACATCGCCAGACAGGGTAATAATCGCGCGACAGGAAAGAAAGAGGCGGAAAATGGTACAATTAATGATGGTAACGGGTCAACCGAACGATCCGACAACTAATGGTTTCCCTCGAGGATGAGGCGTGATCGCGTGCTCGCCCGCTGTTCCGCGCACGAGAGAACGGGGCGTGCGGTACCCTCCCCCGCGCACGCCGACTTCAAATGGTACTAATAAACCCAAAGTGCCTCTGGTAGATTTTTGGGCATAAGCTTGAGTAATAAAGACTACATAGCGTTTACTATAAAAAAAAAAAAGAAAGGAAGGAAAAGAGACACGACTACGACGCGACTGCTGATTATAATAAAATGATAATAAAAGAGCCGAGAAAGAGAGAGAAAAGGGGGGAGGGAAGAAAACGAAATGATGGCGAGAGTGCTTCTGACGCGCCCTCCGCAAAACGATTACACGCGAAAAGTGAACGGAGGTGCGGGCGTACCGGGTGTGTACGCGGTGCGTACGCTAATTAAACGTTTAGATAGATATTAACGTATAGTCGGTAGCCTAGTCTCTATGTCGGTGTCTGTCTGCCCTGAGTGTCTTTCCCACGGTGTACCCCTCAAGTGCGTGTACCTTGAAACCCCGGCGAGCAGATTCCCTCACAGTCCAACGCCCTCGGTCACCGTCGTCCTCGAGTTCAGCCTCTCCTCCGCGTCACGTCCCCGGCCGTGTATCGACCCATTGTGGATCCTCGCCGTCCTTTGTCTCCCGAGCCCGACCCCCGAATCTTCTCCAGTACCTCGACACCCCGTCTTTTAAACGCAACTAACTGTGCTCACATCACGCGTCATTCGCCACAATTACCGATCGGCACGTTTTGCTAAGTAAATATTATTATTATTGTATCGATGGTTCCTCATCAATTATGGAATATACGAATCCCGATTTGTAAAATTCGACTTAACTAAGAAGATGTGTAATAACTTAATCGTATCATTCATGCGTGGCTTGCTGCCCCCGGCAGTCTAACTACCGTCGTATGCTTGAATATGGAGACAACGTGCGCGCCTCCGAGAATGTTTCTGATGTACGTTAGTGAGCGAACGTGTACGAATTTCTGTGTGTCTATTATATACCCGCCTCTCCGTACATCTCGTTCAATTTGTATTCCCTTTCCTCTTGTCGCCATCAATCGGAGATCCGTCTGATTGAGCCATGAGAGATGAAAGAAACAACTTGAAAAAGAAACAAGGAAGATAGGGTTGAATGAATGAATGGCTGAACGAATGTCAGATGGATTGTGCAAGACTGAGAGAGGCAGCGGAGGGAGCTTGCCAATCAATCTCGAGGTCGCTCCCTCGCCGCTCATTTTTACGTCATAAACATTAATTATGATTATCCATAAAGGATAAACGCATCCAACAAAACATAATTACGTTACGTTTATAATAGTCATGTTCCTTTCCGATCGATGATAATTGATAATAAATCTATATCAACCTTGCTACATTATTTTGTACTTGTTTTTTAATATTTCTTAATTTTTTAATCTTAATATATTATATATACATATATATAAAAATCTATAAATAATGACGTTTTTAAGTTATCAGACGTATTATTATCATTATTATTATTATTAATTATTATTTTTGTATAAATGTGTGATTAATAGTACGGATAGTGTAATAATTTTGTATGTTTATTGAACCAAAAATAAATATTATTGATAAAGAAAGAGGATTGCCTGAACAAATTGTCTATATTTTCGTTTCAATCTTCGTCATCAATCGCAGAAATGGCTTTTTCGGACATCGGTTGTGGCTTTTCTATCACACGTAAACTTTGCGGTCCAATACTGCTCAACACGACCGGTAGTAGGATCAGTCCATTCCACAGCCCAAACAAAATTACCAAGTAGAATATTCGAAAAAAGGCCACGAACACGTAAGACGACGAGAAGGCTAGCATCGAGACGGCGAGAAATGTTGAACCCGCACCATATGCGACCGCTGCACCGATATGCCTGACTGCGACCAATGTTCGGGTCTTACGAGCATTAACATCATCCTCTCGCGACTCAGCATTCAGGAAAGCATGTGCAACGTGTGCGGCATAATCTACACTCAAACCGACGCCCAGCTCGAGACCTGTAAAAAGATTCTTACTGAATCTGACTGTGTTTGATTAACAAGAAGTTCACATTAAACGTTTAAGAAACCACTTTAGTGCAACAAGAACAATCCGTATTGTATATTGCGTAGTCTAAAAATATATACTATAATAGAATGATTAGAATTTTACAAAGATCAAGATGAGAATTGAGAATCACGAGTCGTGATTTCATAATATAAATATCTTTTTATACTCCTTACAGCGGGAAGTCGTTATTGCAATGATAAAAATGACAACAAAATTTCCCACAATAAAAATGGATCAAATTCACAATTTTATTTATTTTATACTTTATGAAATTGATTTATTGCAAACAGAATTTCAAAAAATTCTTTTCAATTTATCAGATATTTTTTCTTCCTATTTACATGTATATACATATATGTATACAAGGTGTCCCATTTTAAATAATGCATTCAAATTTATTGACAACTATGGTAGATACAGAAAAATGTATCAAACAAAAATTGTATGGTTCGGAGGGGGACCTAAAAAGGTACCATTGATTTGACCTTGGCGTTGCCAAGACCAGGTCAAGATCACATCGATTTTTTAAAATGGAACTCCTTATTTTTCATTACATTTTCTTATAGCTTACCTTGAGAGCTTTTACGTAAAAATGAAAATAAAAGGAATAATCTCCAATGGCCTTGATCTTGACAAATGTTATCCAGGACGTAATCCTGAACATTCAAGAGGTTTTAGCCGTCGATCGGACAACTTGCGTAATGCTAATGCCGACTGTACTGTAACTTTCGAGCCTTATAACTTGAAAAATATTTAATGAAAAAATATTTTATTATAGTGTTTCGAAAAGCTCTTGAGGTAAGTTTCAAGAAAATGTAATGAAAAATAGAGGATTCCATTTTTAAAAATCGACGTAACCTTGACCTGGCCTTGGCGACGCCACCCAAGGTCAAATCAATGGTACCATCTTATGTCCCCCTCCAAACCATACAACTTTTGTTTGAAATATTTTTCCGTATTTATCATTTCGAGAAATTTTAATGCATTATTTAAAATGGGACACCCTATATATTTATCTTGTACATAAACAGAATAACAAAACTACAAATTTATGAAGCAAAGTAAAAAAAAAATATACTCACCAATGCAGGACACCACGTCTATTGTTAGTCCCCAAAAATACATGAAGCCGCAAACATTTAGCAACGTGAGAAGTACACAGAGTAAGATCCAAAAACAAGTCTGCATTTCAGCAATGAGAATCGCTGTGGTACCCATAACACAGAATAATGCCAGGATGATGTTTCGCGATAGTTCTTGACTAATTAGTTTATCGGCAGTCCAAGGTCCGAACATTTTGCACCAGACTGTTACGTATCCGTGAATTTGCGCTTCGTTTGTTAGAAGCTTACTGTTATCCATCGCTGGAACCCATTCGTTAGGACCTCCAAATTGTTTGAAGTAAAACTCAATGGTTGCTACTGCGATTCGTGGGGCTTTCTTCCCGCATTTAAGCTTCTCTTTAAAAAAGAAATTTCTCTGATATTTGCCACCAGCTCGACTAACAAGAAATTTCGATAGATAATAATGGAACTTGTTGTCTGCAAGTTTTGTAGTTTTTAAATCTAGTGAAAAAAACATACGATTAATTTGTTTAAATTAAAATTATTTAATTAATCGACGAATGATGTATTTATCTTAAAAGCTTTACACAAAATTTATTCTTTTACAAATTCAAGTAAATTCTTGATTTTCATCTTCAAAAATTCATCTTTTTTCAGAAACAAATTAAAATTTTTGTCTCGCCACTTTTAAGATAAATAACTCAAGTAAATATTATGATAAATAACCTGTGGCATAATACAGTGATACGAATTTTGCGAACTCAGTTGGCCAAGGTTCTATATTTTGTATAAAAGACGCATTTTGTAAGCGTTCTGTCATACATATTATCTTAGAAAATTCAGAGGAGTAATCAATATCATCTCCCATAAGGACGAAGGCCTCATGTCCTTGATTAGGAAATGTTTGAGCTCGAACAGCTATATATTGGTACAAATACGAATCTTTCGGTAATAACCATTTTGAATCAAACCATTGTTGCAACTTAAGCAAACCCACAATACTTGTAGATATTGTTACAAAAGTAATTAATACTATAATAATTTTCCCAGGTGTGGTTAAGACTATCCGCGAATAGAAGAAGTTTATAAATTTCCAGGAGACTGCACTGCTCACGTCTGATGACTTGGGCGTAAAGTTTTCATGCGCGATACACGGAAACATCCCATTTCGTTTTCGTTCTATTCTTCTAGCATCCAAAGTAAAACAGGCAATAAAAAATGTAATTTGTAATAAAAATGTCACAAATACACCCACTGCAGCGTAGATACAAAATGACTGAAGTGATGGCAATATCTAGAAGAGAACATCACACGTTAAGACGATATCTTTTGGTAATTGTAATTATTTCCATGCATAACACAGATTAAATAATTAAATGACTTGGTATTTTAGATGAATACAAAAATTAATTTGAATTAAATCGATAATATATCATTGTTTTCTTTGTAGGATAAATAGAAAAAGATATAGCAAATATTTTACAAAAACAAAGTTCTATATAAAGAAGTTCTACTCTCACTGTAAAGTACCGTTCAAAATAAAATATTTTCATTATATTGACAAGAAGAACCAATTACATTACTTAATTCAAAACTATTCATATATATTATTTTCTTTTAAAGTATAAACGTAAATATATCCAAATAAACATAACAAAAATAACTGAAATAAAATCGTGAATTGGTCACAATAGTTACATATTCTTCTTCATGCGCATTAAATGATTAATTCTACATACTGTAGAAGCACCAATGATGAATGCCACGACGTCAGTAAGTGAAGTAATACTGATAGCAGAACCAGCATGACCTAACGTAATCCCGATTCTTTCTATTAATGGTTTATTTATATTTGATTCATCGGTATGGATCTGCTTCCAAGATGCATTAATTACGAAAATATCATCAATCCCTAAACCCAAGAGCATAAATGGCAACGAAGTGTGCACTGGACCATATGGG